ATGATGCACTGATTGATTGATTTTCTAATTGGTTTTATTATCTGAAATATTGATACATTCATTGATTACCCTGTCGATCGCTATAGTATTATCGATTCGATTGATCATAACAAACATGAGTCAGAAGATATCAAATTACTTAATATAAATATAAAACATATTGATGAATACATACTGTGAAATTAACTATAAAAAGAATTATTAATATCCTGAGGATTTGATCTATTGAAAGGATATTTATATTTAAAGAAAACAAAAAGTGTATTTTAGAGGTTGCTGGAGCAATAGACGAATTGGTTTATTGATGTGTTAAATTGATTGATTAATTTGCTGAATTGTTAATTGATGGTTCGATTAATTTATTTTTATCTTCTTATCTTCAAATGTATTAACTGGTTTGATTCAGTGGTCTAACTGGTTAATTGGTTGATCGACTGATTGAAAATCGATTAATTACCGTAGCTAATGGTTTAATTAATTGATTGATTGCTTTATTATTTGTTTAATTGTCAGATTGAATTTCAAAATTATAATCATTTTTCATACATATATGAAATACAAGATTTTTTTTAATTGTCACGGTGATGAGGAAAAAAAATTTGCAAATATGGAAAAAAAAATGAAAATAAGGTGCATAAAAATGGTTGAGACCCCCCGCCCCGCCAGCTTGTTCACACATAAAAAAAAAACAACGACTCCCACTATCCTATACAACATAACGTAAGACATTTCTAGGTGTGGCTACCCCACGTAGTCATTTAACAAAGTAAACAAATCAAATGAAATGATAGAGAAGCAAAAACAAAACATCGTAGAAGAAGAAAGATAACACCATGAAACTCTCAAACTTTCAACTCATTTTATTTCCACAATTAAACAAAGTTACAAAAGTGAAATAACAAAGTGAATATTGAAAGATAGACTGCATAATTTACATTGTACACAGGGGTGGCGCCGGGATTTTCCCGACGGGTGGGAGGCAGAGGTCCCCGACGGAATTCCTGTCTCTTATACACATCTAGATGTGTATAAGAGATCCCCCGACGAGGGGTCAGATTTCCCCTACGAAAGGGCGTGGTCGAGCTTCTATTAAAAGGTATCGAAAGTGGTCCAGGGGGCGAAGTCCCCGAAAATTTTAACAATTTAGGGGTTTCAAAGGCTTATTTAATCGATTTTAGTGTCTACTAATATGTAGAAAATACATATAGTTTTTTCTCCCCGACGAGGCGGGCTGTGCCCGGCCCCCCCCCCGCTGGCGCCACCCCTGATTATACATGCAAAATGGAAAAGGCACCACAGGAAGTGTCTCTCAATTATGAAATGTTAAAACAAAGGCTTTGTTGTTATACCATATGTACGGGAATTTACGAGTATTACCAGGTGTCAACAGTCGATATCAATCGATAGGTTTGTGAAATATTATTGAAAGACCTAATTTTCCCCCAAAAAATTATAAATGAATGATAGTTAGGCACACAATTTAAAATAAAGGCCTAAGCCTACAGAACGGATAGTTTAATGAACAACATTGTTAATTTGAAATTTGACTAATTTAGAATAAGCTGGTGTTTGGATATATCATAGGTCTGATTTATCCCGAAGGTCCTGTATTGAACCTATATTTCATTTTGTAAAATTTTACCTACATTTCGCAAGATTATGAATCATAAAAAAACCCCACAGGAATTTCCAACAACGTCAGAAATAGACAAATTGTTACCACTGAATAAAATACATTTCCAACTGCGCTTCTACTCATTTGAGGTTAAGATTGTTATTTAACATAGTTAATAATCAATCCAGCGATGTATAAGTATGTCAGTTCCGTCGTTATGATGTTGCTCTTAGGCCTACCTGGTACTAAATGTGACAACATGCTGAAATTAGGCACAAGAACTGTCGAAGAAAAATCATGTGGAACTGATGTCGATTATTTTGAACCTTTACCAGGTTAGCTTTTATGTTATACTTTAAATCAGCGACAGTGTTTTTGTAACTACAAAATATGTTCCAGCCCTATCAAATTCTTAGATTTTATGAATATGTTGGTGAATTTAGAACACGCTTTGAGAATATTTTTTCTAGAATATTGTATTTTATGTTATGCCTCATAATATCAAAAGATCAACACCCAAAATGTAATTATTGTCAAAATATTTAATGAGGAAAAAAAAATCAATCAATTAATCAACGAGATGATTTTGAGCATGAGCTTAAAGACCATTTCACAGTTAATATTTAGTTATTTTTTCATAATAAGAACATATAGTTTTAGTGGTATTTAATAAATTGTTTAAAGTCTGTCATATTTAATTTCATTTATAAGCATTATTTGTTGTGTAATTCACTTAATATTTTTTTCCCTTTAATATTTGTTTAATTAATAGAGTTCGGTTAATTAACCCTCCAAATCTGAGGTTATAGGATATGGATATCGTTCAATTTTTATTATTTCTTCAAGTATTTTTTTAATCGTTTCTGTTGTTAATTTTAAATGCACTTTACCTCAATATTATTGTAAAATTTGCATTTATAATATGATCATTGGTTAAATCGCCTAATTAAGTATAATACTATTGATAAAACATGCAGGAAATCACTACAGTACGAAATTGCATTAACTTTGTAGAGGAAATATGAACGTTTAATTAGTTAATAAAGATAATGGCACGTGACTTTACTAAGCTTTATGATTGACTGCAGCTTTTAAATGAGGTTTAGACGATTTATTCTGAAAGTGAATTCCAACTATCTGTTAATGCCACATAAATGCCAAATATCCGTGCATTGTATTATTTAAGCACAATCGATATTCCTAAATGTTGTTCTTATTACCATAAATTATGTTAATTTCCAAAAGCAAACAAAAATGGCAATAATAAATTCAAAAATATTTTGTGACAGTGCTGTAATAAAATAAAATGAACTATATGGTGACACAGCTACATCCCTACTCAACAGTCAATAATCGATCCTGCGGTTAATAAAGCGGCAAATTACAATGCCTAAACAGTTAATTAAAAAACAATGCACACACATTAATAAAATAGAAATGCAGTGATACCATGTATTGAATTAATTTCATTTAGATTCAATGAGTATATCTTGACGCTTGTGGAAAAGAGTAAATTTAGCCAGGCACCAGTATATCAAGTAGATGATTAAGTTGATAAAAATGACTCGGTTAAGAATTAGGTTTTGTTGCGTAGCTCCGTAAACACAATATTATAGGTAGTTTTCGCCGCACGACGTTAACCTTAACTTTAACGTTAGTACCCAACATGCAACGCGATAACTCCGCCGCTTTTGTAAACAAATCGAAATACGCATGCGCAAACCCGTAACTAACGTCTGTCGAGCACGTAAAATCCTGAAAATAACTCGGAGTTATCGCGTTGCATGTTGGGTACTAACGTTAAAGTTAAGGTTAACGTCGTGCATCGAAAACTCCCTATTATTTCATTGAAGGACTATGGTTGGTACGATTTAAACATCATCTTTTTATTCGAGCACTGTTATTAATCTATTCTTTTAAATATATTTTATATATAACGATTGTAAGTTGGATTGGCCTATATCACCTATATCTTGATTCAGAGATCCCAAGTTTGAAAACCAAAAATTGCTTCAATAAACAGCGATTTGCCTAAAAAAGTACTGCTTAGAGAGCCATGCAGGCTTACCGGGAGACTATCTCCTACTCTTCCAATAAGTGTAGGCTTTGCAGTAATTTAACGTGCACATAAATAACTTTAGTTTTTCCAAAGACTTTTAACTGTTAACGTCCTTGGAAACACGAGAGTTTTGAAATTATGGGTTTATGTGGCAATTATTGAAAAACATTTTTAAAATTTTAATATTATGTTTTAATTTAGGTACAGGATTTGATAATCTACGAAACACTGACATGGGCCAAGTGGTTTTAAATTCTTACAAAACTTGTCGATTTACGGACGACAAATTATACATTGTACCTGATGACGTTATTGTTATAGCAACGAAACAGAGCGACGTAAGTAAATACACCAACCACACAGTGACGTAGGTTAAGGTCCTCTCTTTACTAAACAATGGGTAGCCCATACACCACATAGGAAATACAACGAAGCCCTAAAGTGTCCCCTTAATTATAGGGCCAGGATATCCCTTTAACAGCAGTGGCGCCAGC